TCAACCAATTACAAATACAGATCCATCAAAAAAATATGCTAAATCAATAATAAATACACTAGAGAAGTGAAGTTTTCCAAGCATTCACTGGAACTCACACTTATTCTGCTGTTTGTTGAGCATATATTGGCTTCCTTTTCTCCCTTACACTGAAAACACCAGAAGTTCTCATCAGCAAAATGTGAATTGAATGAGCTCCAGTAATAGACTTGAATACGGTAATGTAACGACAATATAGAAGTTTGGACCAAAAAAAAAAGGAGTTAAGAGTCTACCATTTCTTTTTTTGGCCAATTTGAAGCCTTGGTTCCTTCGGCATCGTCTGAGGTTTCCTTGACCTTCAACATGGCAACAGAAATTTGGATTAATCAGAAAAACACGGCATTCGTATAAATCATTAAGATGAATCAAACTGTGGTAAATTTATAGAGGGTTCATGCCATCAACAAAATAAAAAAGAATAGGCACTTGTTTACCACCTCTTTGGAATGAAGGGGCGATCGAAGTAAGGCATAGGCTGAGCTTTGGGCACAAGCTCTTTTCTCAGTCTTCGGATCTCCTCTTCTTCTTCCAACTACATAATAATGTATATAGATTTGTACATAGAGTTAGGACTTTGCAAAAACATGTAGTTTGATTTGTCAAATTTTCAATGTAATTATGTACCTTTTGTAGTCTCTCTCTTTCCAATTTTATTTGCTCCATGAGGCTCATTTTTTCAGCAATCTAGCACAATATTTGAGTAAATCATTAGCAATGCCTTAAATTATCTGAAAGAAAGGATAATTGATAAGAGGATTCACTTGGAGATCAAATTCAGCACGTTCTACTGCACGAACATCAGTATGAAGAACAAGATCAACAGGCTCAGTTGATTCCTTTACAAATGGCCTGACCAAGCACTGCAGAAATTGACCAAGAATTAAAGTATTAGTCATGGTAGATGAAGAATTCTAATGAAATATTATATTCATATGATTTTATATAAACAAGTACTTATATATACCAAATGGAGACAAAATTTGACCAAGAACCAATCTGAATCTATTGAGACTACATTTCAGTTGAACTTTCTACTGAACTAAATTTTTGGTGTGGCTAATCAAGTTCAGTAGTTTACTGCTGACATTTAATCAAATCTAATAGTTCATTATGCCAAATTAGTTACCTGAGGCATGTTCATAGATAGCGACATTAATCAAATTTTGGTTGTCACTTATCTTTGCCAAGAAAATTTCAATTTAAAGTTTAATAATTGTTAAATGCATGAACTTTGACATGTTTTAGTGAAAGATACAATATGAAGAAGTGTCTGTCTGAAAACTGTGTTTTTTTTCCTAAATGTTCTTGCATTTGTTCTCTTGTAATTTCTGCACATATCTTCTCCTAAAATATAATAAAAAACTAACCTTTTTTTATTCAGAAAATGAAACATCTAGTACTTGTATACGGTAAGAAGATGCTTTATGACATAACAGAAACCATCTTTTGTAGCTGAGAACATCACAATTATACTTCAACATGATCAATATACAGTCTCAATGAAGAAGCGTTGAGAAATGTCAGAAACAAGTTCTGATGCTTAGGATTCCTTTTTGGTCACCATGATCCTCCTAGGAGACGACACAAACATATCTTTTCATGCTCTTGTATTGTAAATTAATTGGTAGTTTATGGAACTAAACTTGGTTCTTTCTGTTTCTTGCCTTCGTTACGAATCTGTGCATTGTAAATATGATGTATCATTCAAACCAAGAAATGCTCAATAGTTCCATATAGGTAAGCGATCAATTAAACTTAAGTTTTAGCTATAAATTCAAATAACGAACCACCTGAGGATATTCAGTCGTCAATGGGAGCCCTTGTGCGATTGGTATGCGTTGTTTCTCCTCCTCAAGAAACATTTCTTTCACCTTGCGAAGGAAATTATCTTCTTTGAATCTTCCTCTTTGCTATATCAGTTCAAAAAGAAGCTAATTACTGACTTCTTATATCAAGCAAATCATAACAAGGTGACTTCTAAAGGATAGCATGTTAGTGTGATTTAAATATGTATCAGTAAAAAATACAAGGGGAAATAGATTTTAAATCATATTCAATAAAATACCAATAAGGAGTGCTGCATGTTCATAATACTGTTTTTTGCCCCTCTATGAACAACAAACATAGAGTTTACAATTAAGAATACAGGAGTCTTTAACGAACAACACATATAGAGTTTACAATTAAGAATACAAGAGTTCTTACAAGCACAGCACTTCCATTTGTATTTATTCTTCCTTGCTGGTGCATTAGAATCAGATGCTAGGTAGTTAGATAAAATTAGGAGATCGAAAAGAATGTTGAAATGATCGATAACATTAAAAGTTAATTATTTTTATTTTTCTTAAACTTTCTGTGAATTGAGGCTTGTCCATGTGAATTGAGGCTTGTCCATGTCAAAAAAATTCACCAGCTCAAGTCTCAGGTAGTCTGCCTCCAGACCACGTAACAAGCCACAATTATGCTAATGGAAATTACTTCAACAAATTAATCACATAGAAAAACACACAATTTAGAAGAATACTTACAATGGGAAGTCCAATAAAAGGTGACTTGGTGAAACCCAGAAGAAGAGGGCACTCTCTAATTTCGCTGCCCTCTCTATTTAACAATTTGATGGCAATACATTTTCTTATGCCCTATCTAATTTCTCTCTCAAGTAGCATAGAGCATTTGCATGGCCTGACGCATGAAGTTTTGACCCTGAACATACTCAATGAATTATATACAACTGCTGAACTTTTCTAAACTAAATATCAGTATATCCTTTAACAGTTTTTAAGGATACAAACTACACGTGAACAATGATATCAGGTAACAATTAAAAGCATAATTGAAGAAACTAATTACATAGAGGAAGGAGACTGTTGGATCACTCTTTAACAGATTGCTAGAAGATCTATAGACCGTGACACGACGTACATGGTAAAACCTTGTAAAAAGAGGTGACAAGGCTTCTTGAAAACCCAGGATATTTTCACCACAAACATGTCCTAATAAGAGAAGGGAATTCAATAGACGCACTCAGCGAGAACGAATTTTGAAGGATTAAAGTTACTACATGAGCATAGTTTCAAAACTTACTATTGTTTTTGAAGTGTTTGGTCTGAGGATTAAAGTTTGTATTGCCATGTTACAACTAACGTAATCCTTAATCCTTCTATAGAGAGAGAATGTTGTGTTATCTTAAATTTTAAAATGATGAGGTTTGAATTCAGAACTTCTTGTAATCTAGTAACGCTCTGATACCATGTTAAGAGCCACTATATCCAGAACCTTCAAATTTTAGATAAATTCCTTTTCAACACTAGTTTCATACCAAAAAAAAAAAAGATTATTGTACTATGTATTAAATGTAACAAATCCATACCTCGGTTATTAGTTGAACGGCTGCTGCTGTCTCGTCCTTAAGTTTCTTATTCCTAGTCATCCCTGAAGGAACACCGTCGCTCTTGGGGGGGGGGGGGGGGGAGGGGGAGGGGGGGGGGGGGGGGGGGGGATGGGGTAGGGGGCGGGGCGGGGGGGGGGGGAGAGAGAACACGAAATAAATATCTTACGTAATTGAAATATTAAACAGGACAAAATAGCCAGAAAATTCATAAAGGATCAAATATGCAAACAATCTAAAATTTTTATACCTTGCTTCGACTTCTTTTGTTGCAATCCGATGAACTACTCCCCCAACTCAACCTTAAACAGTTCAAAGATAATTCAACAAAAAATTACCTATAAATTTTCAGCAAACTTCTGAAAAAGATTAACTTACCTATCACCAGTACTATCAACAGAAGAGCTCTCGACAGCTTCCCTATCAAAATCCAATGAAGAAGAAAGCAGCCAAGAACACGAAATCTCAGTCTCCTCAGCCCTCGGCGCTTGCTGCTGATGCAATCCTGGCAGTGCCCAGTTCATCACTCTTCTCTTCTTCTCTTCAACATTTTCCCCTTCTCGATCTTTCGATAACGAAAGAAGCCTCTCAAAAGCCTTCACCAAATGCATAACTCTGCCTGCCCCAGGCTCAGGAATGCTGCTCATCGCTTCCTCAAGCATCAAACTCTTCATCTTCCTCAGCTTTGAACTTCCCTCTAACTCTAAATCTTCGACTGGATCGTGAACTGGTGCAGTAGCTTTCTCCAGGTTTGGATCTTTCTTTGGCCTCTTCGCTGAGCTCTTCTTGCTCTGTGGGGTTTTCATCAGGGTGGGGGTTTTCAGGGCCGATTTCTTCGATTTTTTCGGTGAATTGAGGGAAGGAGATTTGATGGGTTTTCTGTTAGGAGTGCAACTGAGGAGATTTGGGTTGAAGTTCTCAGAGATTTTAGAGGACTGGGTTCTCTTGGGATGTGGATTTCTCTTAGGAGTCATCATTTTGGGCAAGAATCTGATCTCTGAGAAACTAAAAACTTGGGGTTTTGGGGAAATGGGTTCTCTGATTTGTTTGTGATGTGCAGTGAGAGCGAAGAAGTTTTGAGGAAAATTTTGAAGTAGGGAGAGAAGTTGGCAGAATTTTAAGGAGGAGAGAGAGAGAGAACGTTGGAGCTTTTGGGGGCTCCTTCTAACGGCTAGTTTTTCTTCGGTGGGATGTTAACCCATGAAAGGCCAAGTAATATTTCTTTTAATTTTAATTTGATGCGTTTTGAACCGTTGGATCATGAATCAGCACACTAATACTTTTTTGATTAGATTTTATCAGTAATGGGAAAATCTTTGCTCAGATACGCTGAAATAGTGGAGATTGGGGGAGAAAAGAATAATGCAAGGGATACGTTTGCATTTATATGGACAAATATTTATAAATAAAGTGAGACTTTAAAGCCTTGATTTTTTTCTCTCCCCTGATTTAGGACTTCTAATAAGACTGCAGGCATGATTAGCTTCCTATTTGTTTTCATGCGATTGGTTTGGTTTTAGTTTGAAGGAAAACAAATCAAGTTACAAATTGTTTCTCGCTACTTCGAAATGGGTGTTTACCCCCACCCAAAAAAAAAAACTTTTCCATTTACCTCTGGAACTTCAAGAAATCATACTTTTGAAAAACAAAGGACATGTTTGGATATTTTGATAGAATTATAATCAAACTTTTTTATTTGGAAGTCATAGAGGTTTAGAAAGTCTTTCACACTTTTATTTGATTTTTTTAGTTGAAAAATCTAGAAAGTTAAATAGAAAAGCACACTATGTTTCAAAAAGAGGTTAACAATTAAATTTTAAAAATTTCAGAATAGAATTTTCTTAATACATGACTAATAATCTGATGCAAGTGATGCATGCATAGCATATAGTGTGGGAGACTGGTGCATTCCAAATATTGATTTTTTTCAAGTGCGAGGATAGTTCTATTGATTTTTCCAAGTCTAAGCATATTTTTGTTGAATAGTGCAACGTAAATGGTGTTTTGTTTTGATTTTTCAGAGTGTGGGAGTATTTTTGGGATTTCTAAAAATTTGACACTCACACACACGAAGAAGACCAAAAGTGGGTTTATTTAAAAAATAATGATAGGGACACACCCTCTACCACACTCCCAACCACACAGCCTCTCTTGCTACAGTGCATTGGGCCCACATGAGATTTTAGAAATTAAAATCTCATGTGGGCCCAGTGCACTGTAGCAAGAGAGACGGTGTGGTTGGGATTGTGGTAGAGGGTGTGCCCCTAGTGCCTCTCTTATTTAAATAGTTAGTATAGATCATAGAATCTTTTATTTTATTTTTACCAATCTAAGAACTTATCTAAAATACTTTTATGCAAAAGCAATTTAAAATCATGTCACCTTTGCTTTGATATCCCAAAGTTTTCTTTATACCACGTCTGCTTTGATGCCCCTGAGTTTGGGGTATCATAGTTAAAAAAGCGCAAAACTTCTATAGAGGTCCCCAATGCGTCGGTCAAATATCACCTAAGCCCTAAAAATTAGAAATCATTAGTGGGGGTTCCTATGTTTTCTTTGTCATTAGCTTAAATCAATTTTACAAAATTCCATTAAATATTGGTAATGTAGTGATGCCACGACACTGACAATGTCACTGATACGTCAGTAAAAAAATTAGTGAAATTCCAAGTTCAATACAAACTTATAATTTCATTTTGTTGATGCCGCGGTCATGTGGCAAGATAAATTTAGATTTTCACTAATATTTTTTAGCTGGTGTGGTAGGATCACATCCTTGGTACGTCAGCAATATCTAATGGAATTTTGTAAAAATAACCTAGAGTGATGACAGAGATAACACTAGTGCAACCCATTGCTAAATTTTAAATACTAAGGGCCCAAATAATATTTGATCATACATCAAGACCTACATTTAAAATTTACCTTAGGAAAACCAGTAGACTTTAGGGTATCATTGTTAACAAATGTGTAAACATTAGGGTACCAATGTTTAAAATATGTGTACACTATAGGGTACCAAAGTGTTGATTAATTTTTTTGGTGTATCAGAAAAGATGTCAACTTTGGCCTATCAAAGTGTCAGATAAATCTTTGGATCAAAGTTAAAGAAGATGTAAACCTTACCCTGTGTTTGGCAACTTCATACTAATCTAGTCAAGGTCTGAACCCAGTTACGATTGAGATAATGAAAGAGGAAGTAATTGCTAGTAGTAACGACTTGTCACGATCCAGCTATGGAGGAGGTGATCCAAAGATAACCTAGATAAGATCTAGAGCAAGTTTTTCATTAACACATTTTAATCTCTTATCCAATGGCGCATTGGGAAAAATCTAGAGCAAGTTTTTCCTTAACACATTTTAATCTTTTATCCAATGGCGCATTGGGAAATTATCCAGGAATTTGGTTAGTCTTGACCCTATTTTAAATTAAATCAGTTTTGTTTTGTACCAAGAGGATGTAATCCGAAAGGAAACTAGTTTTAAGTGTCAAATTTGACATCTGACCCAGTGTATTCAAATAAATGTTTGCTCAAACCAAAGTCAGGATTGCACCTGACCACATTTTAACAAGTTGCCAAACACACACCCAAAGTTGATGGCCCTAAGTTGCCAAACAAGCCCCATGGGTTGCCAAAGTGCAAATGTTCAAGTAACAAAAATAATATTTTCTTTAGATTAAATAACTTGCCCACAAGCCCTTGGGCTGCTAAAGTGCAATTGTTCAAGCAAGGAAATAACACTTTCTTTAGATTATAATAACTTTGTATTTGTGATCCCTTCTCTCTCTCTTCACTTCAAAACGAGAGGTTAAATCCGGACCTCGTTTTCCAGAACGTTCTTCTCAATAAGAAAATTTCTAAATAAGCCTATTTATATTTTTTTTTCTAAAAATAGATTTTTTAAGTTTTATTTACAAAAAAAGACCTATTTTATCTTAATCCGGTTTCTAAATAGTCGGGGTTGCCAACCCCGACTATTTAGGAGGTTGTAAATCCCCAATTATAACCCTAAACCCTAACATTCTATGTACTAAATAATTAGGATTGATAACCCCGACTATTTAGGAACCGGATTAAGACAAAGTAAGTCTATTTTTGTAAATAAAACTCAAGAAGGTTTATTTTTAGAAAAACAATTATGAAGGGGTTTGTTTAGAAAATTTCTTCTTCTTCTCAACTCCTTACGACNCCCCCCAAAAAAAAAAAAAAAAAAAAAGCAAATCAACTCTCTTCGTAATCGAATCAGAATAATTTTAGGAGAAGACGGGAAGAAACCTTTGCTTCTATGTATTCTTGATGATCTCTAACACTGCTCTCTGCACGTGACCTTTGCAGTGTTTGTAAGATTTCTCCTCCCAAATTTGTAATTCTTAAAATGGGTTGAATATTTTCTTTCCAATTTTCCATGATATGTAACTGGAGTCTCGATTTTGTGGCTATTTTGCATCAAATTTTGGATTTTGCTGGTGGGTTCTTCTTTTTATTGGATAACTAATTGATACACAATCAAATACTAGGACTGTTCGAGGTAAATTTTTGAATTTTGATTCAGGAAATGTACTGTAAATGCACATTTCTCTTCAAATCAGAGAAATCAAATTATTATTTTTCTCTTCGAACTATTGAGTAGCTCCTTATCGCGCCCGCACACACAGAAAGGATTGCTTGTAAATGATTAGTGCTCTTGGTAATGATGTAAAGGGCAGGTCATGCGTTTCCATCTCCTTGACAAATGTTATTTTGCGTTGAAATATTTGTTACTTGGAATGTAAATTTTGTGTTACTGTCTATGTTTGCATAGTTGAAGACTAGAGTACAGAGAGATGGTACAATTTTAAGGAATTGACGCAGTTTGTTAACTGATGAAGATTTAACAGTTGGAAAAGGATGAGAAAAGGGCAATGCTTTAAATCCCCTTACCGATGATTTTAGTGCATCATCAATCCCGATATTTCTTTTCTCTTTGAAGTAATTCCTGGAAAATCAATTTTAAAGGCATAGTGATTGGGTGCAATGTCCCCATTTTGATTAGAATTTTTCTCTGTGGCCAATTTTGAATTTTGATCACAAAATTTATTGTAAGGGCCCATTTCTTCTGAATTGTGAGATATCACTACCTTATTTTTCTAGTCAAAATTACCAAGTAGCTGCCCTTCTCTTCCTCTGAATGATTTGATAATTATTGTTGCTCTTGTAAGTGTCAATGAGGGCGTAATGCTTTTCCATGGCCATGACAATTTTTTTTGCAGTACGATATTTTTTACTACCACTGTGTTACTAACTACATTATAATCTCAAGGAACTTATCCAGTGAGTAAACTGATTATTAGTTAACATCTGGAAATGGCTGAGGAAGGAGCAATTAGATTTGATGACCAGTAGTGAAACAATTAAAAAATGAGGGTCTTAAGCATTTCTCATTGATGAAATGAGTTTAGCTAATTAGTGCATCGCCAATGGAATGGTCTTTTTCTTTTGTACTTTATAGTAAATATTAAAACCATTCTAAAGGGCCTAATGATTGGATGCAATGTCCTGAAACTGATTCCAAGTCCTCTGTGCCAATATTGATTTTCAGCACAAATCTTTTATAAGAGTTCATGTTTTCTCGTGAAACTTGAGAAGTAAAATCATCATTTTTCTACTCAAACTGCTAAGTAGCTCAATTATTTCCTGGAATTACATGTTAATGATATCTGCTCTTGTCAACGGTGTCAACGAAGGAGTGATGCTTTTCCATGCTCATGGCAAATGAAATTTTGAAGCTTGATATTTATTATTTGGAATGAGATTATGTGTTACTATATTTTCATAGTTGGAGTAAATGAGTTGGTAAAAAATTAAGGGCCCTTGCTGATGAAATGAGTGGGAAGTGGGGGTCTAAAGAATCTCACAGTTACAAAATGAGATTAGCTAATTAGTCATTGTCAATGCCGATATGGTCCTTTTTTGTAGTAAACATTGAAATCCATTTAAGAGGCATAACAGTTTGATGCAATGCCCTTGCTGTAGTATGATTTATATCCTTGATCTTTCTTCTGAAACTTATGATTGTTTTCTGAATCAGGAGAGACATTTGTATTCTCTGGAGGATTCCGTAATCTTATAACGCCACTTTAAGAATGGAAGATTGCACTAGGGGCAAGAGTGCATCTATCACGGCAGATTACTTTCTATCCAACCTTGCTCTTTTTACAACGATCATTGTCGGGATATTTACTGTGTTTTACACTGCATCTCAGTGGAAGAAAATTAGTCTAAGCTGGATGAAGGCAATAGCGAGATCAAAAAGAAATCAATCAAAGCACAAAGGTCCTGCTTCAGCTCATGTCTGGAAAATAGAATCCGGTACTCGTGCAAAGGGTCTACATTGCTGTGTATGCTTCGAATCTTTTTCTCCGTCTCAGCCTCTTGGGACAGTTATAGCCTCCAACTATTCCTTTCACCGTTGTGATGTCTGTGGTGCAGCTGCACACCTGACATGCTCTTCTAATGCACATAATGACTGCAAGTGTGTATCCATGTTTGGTTATAAGCATGTAATTCACCAATGGGTTGTGTGGTGGACAGAAATGGCAGATCAAACTGGAGAAAGCCTTTTATGTTGTTATTGTGAAGAACCTTGTAGTAGATCATTTCTTGGTGGCTCTCCAATTTGGTGTTGTATGTGGTGTCAAAGACTTGTGCATTTTGATTGTCAGGCAAGCATGGCTAAAGAAATGGGTGATACTTGTGATCTCGGTCCATTTAAAAGGCTTATTTTGTCGCCACTATTTGTCAAGGACTTGAGAAAATCTGAAAGAGGGGGGTTTCTCAGCTCTTTCAGCCATGGTGCAAATGAACTGGCTTCTACAGTTCGTGAACGTATCAGAAGTCAGAGTAAGAAGCATATGCATGTCAGTGCCAATGACTCTCAAAGAGATTATGAACATTCTGATAGTATAAATGATGCAGCACGTCAAAATGGTAAACAAGATTATAATGTGAAAGTAGGTCCCACAACAAATGTGCCATCCGCATCAGATGACCTTCAGAGACGAGCTGAGCAGCAATATGAGCTGACAGATTTATCTTCTGATGCCAGACCACTGCTGGTTTTCATTAACAACAGAAGTGGTGCTCAGCGTGGAGATTTATTAAAGCATCGGCTACACATTCTTCTAAATCCTGTGCAGGTTCGCATTCAAACTACTTGTTCCCAAAGTTTAAAAAATGATGTCTCTTTCAAAAATTTCTAACTATAGGCTTTCTCCTTGTTATCATACTTCTTCAACATGTGTTGAGCCCACATCTTCAGATGCTCAGATACTAAATTAATAATCAATAAAGAGTTTGAATGTATTATGTTGGTAAATTTTCTTGTAGTGTTACCCTTTTCTGACCATGAAACTTTCAAATATCATTTATTGTTTACACTCTCATTATTCAACTAAAACCGTTGGTTGTCCTTGACTTTATTAATTTACTCCAATGCGGAGTTGGTTCATAACCTTTCTTACAGTTACCCTGGCTTGCAGCTTGGAGTGTTGAGAGAGGTCACTTGACCAAAGAATTTCAGGCACATTAATAAATTTGTTTTATTTAATTTCATGAAAATGTTGAATTGCCATCAAGACTGCATGGATAGCGATTGAGTTAGCAAGGCAATAGCTCATGCCTTATAATAGATTTGTCATAATCTTTCATTAAGTTTGTTGTACAACCAGATCTTTTCGACAATCCAACCTGTTTTTAAAATTCCTTCTGTCAATTTCTCATGTGCTTCCTAGCCATACATTTTGCTGATCCAATGAGAACCAATGTTTAGAATAATGATAACAAATAATGTTATGCTCTACCTCTTGTTTAGGGTTAAAGAAAAAACACAAAAAAACATAACACATAACACATAACACATGCTATTTTGTTTATTGATTATTTACATATTTTATAAATAGAAACTGTTCATAATAACTCCAATAACTAGAATTATGAAATGTTTTAGACATAATAATCACAATTTGGAATAAAATATCAGAATACAAAAATGTTTTAATAAAAATTCTTTAATCTTATACGAGTTATATAGATTTACTAGGAAGTATCACAATCAAATACTCAAGTAAAATAATCATAAACTTATAGCTCGTTCATAATTCCATTTGTTTCCTCAACCATATGCATAATTTCACAATCACATAATGATGTCACCAAAACAAGATATGAAGGCTTAACAAACAATTTAAAAGTAATTATTTAACTATTTCAAGTTTTAAGAAAGGATATATTCTCAAGTCTCTTAAACTTAAAATTGAAATAACATAAGTTATATTGAAATAACGCATGTTATATGGAAATGACATAAGTTATATTGAAATAGCACATTATATTCGAGGTTATTGATAGCAGACAACATAGCGGTGAGGCACATCTAAGGTTATTTGGGGCTATAGCGATAAAATGGTGACAAAGAGCGCAAAGTCAAATAGTCTCTCTTAAACTTAAAATTGAAATAACATAAGTTATATTGAAATAACGCATGTTATATGGAAATGACATAAGTTATATTGAAATAGCACATTATATTCGAGGTTATTGATAGCAGACAACATAGCGGTGAGGCACATCTAAGGTTATTTGGGGCTATAGCGATAAAATGGTGACAAAGAGCGCAAAGTCAAATAGTC